GGACACAGGCACAGGGCATGCAAAGCACAGTGGCCTCTCAGGGCTGGCGGGTGACCATAGAGCCGCCTGAGATCTTCAATTTCAGGGAAAAAAGCCTCAGAATGAGCAGAGGCCCCCCCAAGGGGCAGTGAGAAGGGGATAAAGAAGAAAGCTTACGAAGGGAGGTTTTCACTGCCACGTGACATCGCAGCAAAGTCCTGACAGCAATGAAGCCAGTTCATGGGATTTCTTTACAAGTCTGGCACACAATCACTGGTAGTGAGTCATCCATGGTGAACTAGGCCCTCACTCTCTGCAGTGATCTGATAGACCAGGCCCTCTCTCTGGTAGACCAGGCCCTCGCTCTCTGCAGTGATCTCTGGTAGACCAGGCCCTCACTCTCTGCAGTGATCTCTGGTAGACCAGGCCCTCGCTCTGTAGTGATCTCTGGTAGACCAGGCCCTCACTCTCTGTAGTGATCTCTGGTAGACCAGGCCCTCACTCTCTGCAGTGATCTGAAAGACCAGGCCCTCTCTCTGGTAGACCAGGCCCTCATTCTCTACAGTGATCTCTGATCTCTGGTAGACCAGGCCCTCGCTCTCTGCAGTGATCTCTGGTAGACCAGGCCCTCACTCTCCGCAGTGATCTCTGGTAGACCAGGCCCTCACTCTCCGCAGTGATCTCTGGTAGACCAGGCCCTCACTCTGCAGCGATCTGTGGGAACCCTGGCAAGCCTGTTCACGGGTCGTTCAATGTGGTAAGCCAGGCACTCAATCACTTCATAGGCTGTGGTGGTCAGCGTGGTACTGACTCACGATGTTAACCTGTGGTAAACCTGGAATCTTCACAGTCATCCCTGAAGGGATGCTAGCCTGTGGCACTCACTCACGACAGCTGTCTGTGTTAAATCTGCACGCACTATGGTAAACCCCATTTGTCAGAATTGCTGGTTAAAAAATGGTCCCTACCAATCTAAAAGCAGTGATATGCTAACAGCAGATAGGTAGTAACTGGGAGAACTAATCATCGAGCCGGAAGAACAGAGGGTGGTCTTGGGAGCAGAGGATCCAGGGCCGGGGTCGGGGCCCATCCGGAGGCCCTCTGACCAAGTGCAGCCCCTCCAGCCTGGTCACGACTGTCCCCAGCACAGCCCTGTGAGCACAGGCACAGAGACGCCCGAGGGTGGGGACACACACCTGGCCGAGCTTGTAGCTCATGTTGCCCAACTCGCGCTCCGGGTTGATCTGTAGCAGTAGCCGGTCGTGGCTGAGGAGGGCCCCTGCGAAGAAGAACGAGGCCGTGGGGCAGGCACCGTGCCCGGCTTCCTCACCGCAGTCACCTGCTTGGCTGGCACCCTCAGCACCAGCACTCATGTTGACAGAGCTCCTCAGCCCAAAGCTCATGCCCAAAGGCTGCAGCCCGGGGAGGCAGAGCCTTCCCTCCCCCCACCTCCCGCTGCGATTTCCCTGCCTCTCCCAGCGTGTGGGCAGATGACCGCCCCACCCTGTGTGCCACCCTCTGGGTCTCAGCTGAAGGTCCCATCTCTGCCCCATCTCCTTCAAAGGCCCCGCTGGAGCTTCTGCCCAGCTCTGCACACCCCGCAGAGGGGCTTGGGTCCTTCCAGTGGGAGCTGCTGCGAGAAGCCTCCAACTATCCGCCCACTTCTCATGCCTGAGAGAGCCTTGGGTGCCTATGGGCTGATGACAGCCGAGCCCCTCACGCCTGGCACCGGCTGGGTATGGAGAACACACTGTGCTGGCCTATGAAGCCCTACACAAGCGACACCTTCCAAGTGTTGCACTTGTAAGATCTGCCGGCCGTGAGGCAGGTGAGGCACCACCACATGTACGGGAGGCCTAAGGCTCAGTGTTCAGTGAGCACCGACCGGGATGGGAGAGATGTGTTTGGGGGTGTAGGCCATAGTTTCTAGCCCCTGAAAACTCTTCTGCTCCCCAAGCTTGGATGGTTGAGTCCCCAAGAGGCACGCCAGTTCAGTCCGGATGCGACATCCTCAGAGAAGTTAACGTCCTGGCCCTGCCGAACCCCGGAGCCAGTGTATGCGGAGAGTACCGCCACCCCCTGGACTTGCACGGCGTGAGGGCAAACAGAGCCTCTCCGAGGTACCTGTCGTGGCTGGAGACAGAGAAGGGACAGGGTCCCAGGCTTGGTATGGGTGGTGGGTGGCGATGTTCTCTCTCTTAGAAACCATGGCCTGGACTTCCTGCTCGACAATCCCTCGGATGACACTCAACTTCCTCCCAAGCCTAAGACGCAGAACCAAGACCAAAGAGCAGAGTAATGATCAGGAAGCCCTCACCAACCCCAGGCTTGGGCCACAGATGGCCAGCGAGCAGAGAGTGAGTGGGCACAATTCCTCCAGGACAGAGGTCTGGCCAGCTCCCATCTGCCTCTCTCTGGCCTGTGTTCCTGTTGCTGTGCCAGTCTGCCCTCAACACCCACCCCACCCGCTGTGGGCAGTCACTGACCAGCCCTGGGGACCCCACCCTCCACCTTTTCAGCAAGGTCACGGACACACGGTGTTGCCCGCAGTCTTGGCAGGGGCAGTGCTGCCCTGGGGTCGGGGTCGGAGGAAGGCCGAGTGGAGTGCATACCTGGTATCCAGAGCTTTCAGTGGTTTGTTCCGGGGCTGCTGCTCCAAGCAGCTCACTGCGGGGTTTCCGGCCACGGGGACAGTCATGGCGCTCAGCACCAGGGAGGTGATGGCCTGCACAGCCAGGACGTTGATCTGCGTCCTCTCTGTGTCTTCCTGCAGGGGGAGCACAAAGGCACGGGGTAAGGAGCAACACACACACACACACCCACACACCCACACACACACACCCCCAGCCGAGGGGCAGGCAGGGCCCTTCAGTCCCAGGCGCACTGGGTCTGGTCAGGGGGCTGGGCCCCGAGAACTGAAGAGGCAGGAGCCCCCACGGGTGGTGCTGTGTGAGCCCACCCTGCCCGGCACAAGACCTGGGGCACCTGCTTGGCCAGCATCCTCCTTCCAGAGCAAAGCCCCAACACAGAGCTCTGTACCCATGCCTCCCTTGGCCTTCCTCCCACCCGCTCTCAGAGTGAAGGACCCAAAGCCCGTGGCTTCCCCGGCACACAGCTCTCACTCGCCGCCCCCGAGGTGCCCAGGACCCTCCGAGGCCGTCAGGAAAGGTGCCCTTTCCCTTCGGTGCACAGCCAGGCCTCTCAGCGCCCCCGGAAGTGCACAGAACGACGGGCAGCGAGAGCCAGCACCTGGGCAGTTTCTGCCCAAGGACCCCAGGCCACACAGAGGCAGACTCTTGCCTTCCTCATGGCCGCCCGCCTGCCAGGTGTGCCCATCTGGGGTGGGGCTGGGCGTGGTCTTACTTCCGGTGGCCTCTCCTCCTGCTCCATGGAGAGGGGCTGTGTCACCAGGACCCCAAGGAGGGCAGCCCACGTTTCTTCAAACTGCGTGCGGCTGGTCCACCCTGGGGACGGAGCAGGAATGAGCAACGTCCTCACAGCGGGGGTGGGGTGGGGGCACACCCCTTAACAATCCCATCAAGACTCTGCCACCTCCACTTAGCGAGAGCAACACACACACACACACACACTGCCCACGCACCCTGGGAGGTCAGCTGGACCACCCTGATGGAGAAAGCAGGGCGGAGCACGGGGGTGGAGGGTGGGGTGGATTAGGATTGCCCATGAAGGGGCAGGCTGACTAACCACTGGCCTTCCCACCTCCCACAATGGCCGAGCGACACTGGACGACACCGTCCACCTCAAGGGTCAGGCAGGACACCCCAGTGCCCCGTCTATCCCACCCGGGACAACACAGCACCGACACAGGGGCCAAAGCAGTCTCCCCTGACCCTGACCGCAAGCGCCAACACGGGACCGACGGAGAGCAAGTGCGGTGCTGTCCTCGGGCTCTGGGCAGGCGTGTCTGTCGAGCGCCACCGCCCACAGTCAGCACTCCTTCAGAGGCTGGCCCAGAGCCACCCCTGCCAGTCCCGCCTGTGTGTGTGTGTGTGTGTGGGGGGGGGGGTTACACCAACACACCAATCCAGGCAGCTGAAGACCCTAGACACATGTTCAAAGTCAGACCTCAGGACCCAGGCAGGTGGGTGTTGGGACACGGACATTAAGGAGATATGTGGGCAGACAGACACGTGTGCTCATGGGAAAGGTGACGTGGTTATGAAGAGAACTGGGCAAATGGAAGTCCATGGGACAGATGGGCCTGCATCTGTCTATGCATCTGGCCGACGGCTCAGCAAATACCGGGCAAGGGGACCAGCCAGGGACAGCCTGACACAAGGGACCCTCCTTTTGTGATCTGCCTTGGACAAGGCATGACTGCCCACTGAGGGGTGGAGGGAGGAGTCTGCCATCAGCGTCCTGGGAGCAAATGCTGCACCAGGTGGGCAGGAGCTGCAGAGCCGGAAGCAGGGGGAGCAGACCATCAGGGACTCCCCAGGGAGATGCCATAGCAGGAAGCTCCCCACTCGTCTGAGTGGTCTCCAGGGGGGGTCTCCGGAGGGAGACAAAGGTGGAGGCACACACGGGGCTTCAGAAACCAAGGAAGGGGACTTCAAGAAGCACGCTGATGTAGCCAGCCAGGTTCCTTTCCCGAGCAGCAATGCCACAGCCCTCAGCGCGGCAGGATGCCCTGCTGGCACTGCCAACCCCTGCCAGCCAACTCCCGGAGGTTCACACCAAAGGATCTCACGTGCCCTGACAAGGCCTCTCAGAAGAGGGCTAAGCAGCAGGCTCTCCTGAGAAGCCCAGGAGGGTACCCTCTAACCCAGGGGGGTGAAAACAGAATCCGGCCTCCCCTGGGCTGGGACATAGAACACCTGGGATCTTGCACCCACACCCCACCGCCCACGCCCAGGTGCGAGCTGCAGCTGCACAACAGCCAGTATGCTGCGCACTCTGTGCGTCTCTGTGGTCTCCCGACTCTGCTAACGGGAGGCAGCCTCCGCTGCAGTTCCAGGGCGTCCGAGGAATACCCAGCGTGTTGATCCGGTAGATGAACTCCTTGAAAACCTCCTTCTCTTGCAGGAACTCCACGGGGATCTCGGGAAGCGCTGTGCCAAACTCCCCTCCAGGCTTGGGTGACCACCCGAGCTTCCACACCTGGGGTTTAAGAAACAAGCTGGTCAGCATGTCCATCTGTCCGTAGGACATCTGCTGTGAGGAAGCAGCCCCACGTGGCATGGGGCTCTCACTTGTGCCTTGGAGCACCTTCATCAGCTGGTGTCCCCAGACAGATCTGCTCGGGCTGCCACACAGGGTGGAGGCCTGGCCGCCGGAGTGACTCGGGTCCTCAGTCAGTGTCTGTAGCCCCCGCTCTGGGGGAGGTCAGGACCATAGCGGGTGGGACGTGAAAACCAGCCACACACTGAACAGACAGCCCTGGGCCCCGCTTCTGGAGGGCTCCATGGCCACTCAGCCGCCATGCAGGGGCAGGCCACCCAAGAAGTGGACAGGTCCCCCAGACAGCTCGGCAAGAGCCCAGGCTGAGGCCCCAGGGCCTTGTGGGGCAGGGCCTGAGCCTGTCCACCAGACCCCTCCCCTCCCCTCAGCTAAGCGGAGGAAACGTCTAGCTCAGCCCAAGCCTGGGGTTCACGAGGCTGCTTCTCAAACGTCCAATGGGGGCTGGTCTGCACTGCCTGTGCCAGTGTAGCACCGCCTGCCTACCTGCTAGCAGACTCCAGCTTCCTGTACTGCATGCACACGGCCTGTCTGCGGAGCTGCCCCTCCCTCCTCAGTCTCGAGCAGCCCCCACCAGGCCCTGTCTGAAGGACGCCCTGCGTCCCACGCCCTGCACCCCTGCTCTGTGGAGACACAGGTATTAAACTGCCAGGACCCACTGTGGTGGCCCCTGATGGAAACAACCCCACACTAGGCGTGTTCTCAGAGGGGGCCCTGCCTAGAAGCCCCTCTCACCACCTGGCCTCCACCTGGAGGCTTCGCCTGGGCCTGCAAACACCCTGCTGTGGGCTGGGTGGCTAGGAGGCTGGGAGGGGAGGGTGCCGGTCCCGACTAAGCACACCTGCTCTCAACTGGCGAGAAGGGGGCACCGGAGCGCAGGGCTAAGCTCAAATGTGGATGTGCTCAGCCCACACCCTGTGACACGTGGCCACAGCTGTACCCCAAGATACATGGCGCAGTCACACCCTGAGATGCCGAGGCTGGGACTCCAAGACGACGCTCACAGCTGTGCCAAACACGTGGCCACCAGGCTCTGTGCTCAGCTACACCCTGCACCGCTGTGGCTGGCCGGCCCAGACCTCACCTCGCTTCCGCCTGAGGCAATGAGACAAAGGGGAGTCCGGGCTCACCAGGGGCGGGACCCTCGTGTAGCTGTTGACGAGGGGCAGGCGGGCCAGGCTGACCACGATGTTCCGCAGCACGGGCGTGAGGAAGGCGGGAGTGCTGCTGCTCCGCGTGTGGCCCAGGGTCAGCGCAGACTGCAGGGCCTCCACCATGTCGGCCACCATCTCACAGGCCGCTGTGACGTACTGGGGACCTGGGGAGACACGAGAGTAGCCACTCAGCCTACTCCCTGCTGCCCGGGCCAAAGACGGTCAGGTGGTCAGCCCAGGTGTTCTCCCTGCGGCTGGCCCAGCCCTGATGACACCCATAGCCCGGTAGTTCCCCAGGAGACAATGCCCTCCCTGATTCATTCACCCAGGACCCCGGGCCTGTCCTACACGTCACATCAAGTGAAGACCACGCTGGAACCCCTAGGCCCTGCTCCTCTGAACAGATATGGCTGTGGGCGGGGGTTCTGACACACGTGCACCCAACTTCTCAATTTGGGGTTCCGGGCACAAGCCGCATGGCTGATAGAAACACAGCCCTGAGCTGCGGTGCCCCCCCAAGTGTGACCCTGCTCTGCCTGCAGACAGCGTGTGTGAGAACAACATCTGCTACATCCATGGGCATCTCTGGGTGATGGCCTTGGACCTAGGATACATTCTCATGAGAGAGACCGGCTGCCTCTGTCACACTGACCAGCGGCGTAGCCTCTATGAGGGCACAATCCCATGGACCCCTCCTCCAGGGCCCCGCCATGGCTCATGGTCACCAAGCACCTAGGCATGCCTACTCGCTGCCCTGGGCAGGGCTGGGCAGGAGTGACCAGCTGGGTCAGCACCGTCCTCAAGGCAGGACTGGGAAACCAAGGACACACAGGAGGGTGAAGCCTGCGACCCACCCCAGCAGGGTCTGGCTGCCACTGCTCCCGAGGCTGTTCCCAGGGACTTGGGCATGTGGACAGGAGGGCCAGTCCTGGGAAAGGGCACCATGCTTGATAAAGGGTCAGCAGGAAAGAGGGCACCCCTCATGACAGTCTGCACAGTGAGCTCATACACAACAGCCGTGAGGACAGTGCTGGGCGGCGCTGACCAGACAGCCCAATAGCTGCCACTGCAGACATGTGGGCAACACCCAGAACTGGGCACTGCCGTGCCACGCTGGCTCACTGCCAGCCAAAAAAGGTGGGCACGCACAAGTTCCGCAGGCGGTGGCAGAACCCTGATCAGACCCCGGGGCTTTTGAGAGGCAGAGAGAAGCCCCCCAGGCCGCATCATCTCTGCTCAGGTGCAGAAGGCCCTCGGCCCCACCCACCCAGAAATCACCTTAGAATTGAGATGAAAAAAAGCCGAAGGGCAACAGAATCTAGAAATCGTTTGGTGGTGGGGCAGGGGATGGTAGCAACTGTTTTCCCCTTTAAGAAGGGCAGCCGTTTTCTCTACCAACCCACCAGACAGAGGGCTGACGCTAACACTCAGCCTGGGATACTGACATCTCCACTCCTCGCTGCCTGCTGTCCCCTGGTTTCCCAGGACAAGACTCGAGGCGGCCTGTTGTGGGCCCCCGGGACAGGGCCCAGAAGTGGGAAGAAGGTGGGGTGAAGAGGGAGCGTGCTGAGGGGGCCCATGCGGGGTCCCCGGAGCTGAGGCTCCCCACCCCATGGTCTCTTGATAGTGACCCCCCCCCAGGCCCTGCGCGAGGGACAGGAAGGAGGGCTGCAGACCTACGTGGGGGGTGTGCATCCACTCGGTCCTCGCTGGTCGGCTTGGGCGCGGTCACCCTCCTCTCCGGGCTGAGAAGCTGGTCCCCGGGCTGCACCAGGACTGCAAGAGGGCAGAGCAAACGGCCTGGCCAGCTGCCCAGTTGGTCCTGTGCCGGGCTGTTTGAGGGACGGTGGGGGAGGTGGGCAGACCGTGGGGGCACCGGCCTGGCTGTCGACCTCCTGCTCATTGTGGGGTTTCAAGGGTTTGGAGACTGCACTCGGGTTTCCAGAGCCGCCCGCCACTGCCTGCTGCTGGCCGGCTCTCCCCTGAAGGTTTGACCCGATGCTCCAGGGTGCACTGACAGCACCAGCCAGCCGCAGCTGGCTCCCCAAAAGGACCCAGGAACCTGGAGTGGCCCATTCCAACACCCAGGCACAGTGAGAAGGCGCAAGCACTCGCTCTGCAGTGCTCAGACAGCCCCCCGCACCGACTGACGTCCCCTTCCAGAGCTAGGCTCGAGCACATGTCCCCAGGGAACAGTGGCTTCGACATCACACCGGGTTCAAGTCACACCTTTGGGACGCTATCCCTTCATCTGAAGGCCAAGCAGCCCAGAGGACCAGACACCCAGGGACACACATGACAAGTGCGCGGAACCCAGTTCAAGTTCGGTGAGGGCTTCCCGAGCGCCCCGCGCCTACTCACTGGCCTCAAGGAGGAAGCGCACACAGTGGATGAGGGAGCAGGCGTGGGTCACACACTCGGCAGAGGACAGGACGAGCCAGAGGCCCGGCAGCTGCAGCGCCCGGCAGCAGCAGTCCAGGCCGGCCTGCAGGTCCAGGCTCAGCGGGATCCGCTCGTGGATGAGGTGCCACGACAGGGCCTGGGGGAGGGGGTGGCAGGAACACGTCAGCGTCGTGTCCTGCAGGGGACTTGGGGCCTGTATGTCTGACAGCTCAGCTCTGCCCTCCTCTCCACTGTGCCCCCATCCCCAGCACTCACCACTGTCCCCTACCATCCAGTCTCACGGGTTCCCGGCTTCCCGCTGGCTCACACCCAAGGCGCCTGTCCTCCGAGATGCCCACATCCTGCCCGCCCCTCTCCCAGCTCCAGGACCCAGGGCTGACTTGCACGGCCAAGGAGGCAGGAGCCAGCTGGAGGCCATCCTAATGTCAACAAGGCTACTTCCCACCAGCTGGGGGAACCTGGCAAGCCTCCTGGCCCCAGACCTGGCTTTTCTCCATGGGGTGGGCGCAGAGCCCCTCAGCCAGAAAGAGAAGCAGGGGGCAGAGGTGGGTCCCGGTCTTTGTCCCGCCCACAGCGGGCACTCCACAACTGGCAGGGACCCCTCAGGTCTGTGAGCCAGACCCCCCACTACGTGGACAGCATGTTGCTGTGGTCCAGGAGGGTGCCTCCTGAATGGCTGGATGAGGGCCCTCAGACACGTCCCTGCGGCAGCAGGGCCATGCACCAGCTCACAGGGACAGAGCGCAGCTGGCAGAGGTCTCTCTGAAGGGCAGGGCACCAGCATGCACGGCACAACGCTGGCACACATGTTGGCATGGGCTACATGCTCAGTCCCCTGACAGATATGCCCACACTTCCCAGCGTGTCATTCCTCTACAATCAAGCTCTATACCCTATTCTTGGGGCTATTTTTCCTCAGAGAACAAGCTGCCAGTCCAGAGGGCACAGGGCGGCCCTGCCTAGGATGGGGGAGAGAGTGAAGAGGGTATGGCGCCTCTCCCTCACCTGCTTACTCTCCTGACCCTACTATCCCACAGACATGTGCCGCTCAGCTCAGGCCCGTACCTCGAGCGTCATCACCACAAACTTCACAGTGTCGCGCTCCTTCTCGGGGGGCAGGTGCAGACGGATGGGCACTCTGGAGAGCAACACCAGGTACTGCGCCAGGGCCCGGGCCAGCGTGGTCAGAGACCGGTACAGCACAGCGTCCCCTGAGACAGAGCGGCAGTCCTGAGACCAGAGCCCGGTAAGCCAGCCAGCTAGCCAGAGCGAGCCATTCGGGGGCCTTGCCCCTTGGGCTGCACCCCCGCGGGAAACTAACAGGAAGCTCTCAGTGCCCACTGTGTTACTCTGGGAGGGGACAGGTTTTTGTTTTCATTACCAAACAGGCCGTCCAGCTTGCTCCAGTAGGCAGAGGGCTCAGCAGGCAGAAAGGGCTGGAACACCTGGTGGGTGGCCGGGAGCTGCTGGACGAGGCCAGCTATCCGGTCCAGGGTGACAAAGCGGGCCGTTTCAAAGAGAGGGCTGCTCTGGCCCGAGGCCAGCTCGCTCACGCCGAGGCTTAAGCACGGGGCCAGCAGGCTCAGGTTGAACTCCTGCAATCAGAGCAAGGAGAGTGGGCCTTCAACCAGGAGGACAGTGGAGGCAGGGACGGACGAACGGAAGGACAGACTACAGCCTATGGGAGTTTCTGAGAACCCTCGGGGTTGCAAACAACTTCTCAGTACCGTTTAACGTGAGCTCAGTAACACATCCCTCCGAAGCCCTAGTGTCCCTGCAGCTGGGGGTTCAAACCCCACCTTGGCCGGACAGGGCTCCCGGCACTGACTGGATGGCAGGGCTCTGCTTCCAGCTGGAGTGTGTTCCTACCTCACGGCACGTCCACCTCTAATTCTACACCGCGGTCTGACACGCCCGCAACGTTTTGATTGATGAGAACACAGCACTAAGGCTGATCCGTTTGTCCTCTGAGGCATCGGCCAACCACACCCCTCGCTTGACCAATCAGGAGTCCCAGAAGCAAAGCCAGACTTGTGGCGAGAAGACCATGTGTCGCCTTCACATACCGTGTTTTGCCAGTGTTTTCACCTTCCACCCATCACGTTTTAATGTTTCAGGTGGAATCACAATCAGCAGGGGCGTGCTTGTGCAGTGGTTAAGTGCCCTTGCAGAGCCACAGGCCCAGGGGCAGCTGTGTCCTGAAAGGTCATTCGGGACCTCGGGCGAGGGGTGGTCCTGTGTGCTTGACATTCTGGCTCAGCAACAGCCTCCACTGCTGCAGACCCGCCTCCCTCTGACCTTCTTCAGGAGTTCCCCCACCACACTGCTGCCAGGACACACAGAACTCACAGGCCATGCTGATGATTTGGGGGTTTATTAGGGAAGCTCAAGGTGACATTTCAGGATCAGGAATGCTGCCGCTACAGCTCTTCCATCAGGATAGCCTTTTCTTAGCCATGCCTCCAGGCTAGACACCCCCACCCCCGCATAAAGCTTACAAAGCCCCTTTAAAGCTGCTGGTGAATGCCCCAGGACATGCCGTTGCCATCAGCCTCAGCTGGCAAGGGCTCTCAGTTCTCAGTCTTGGGTCAGCAAACTTTGCCCCCCAATTAAGTGCCTGGAGGCCCCTCCCTCTGCAGGCCAGCCCCCTGCTCTCAGGTGCTGTGGGCTGGGAAGCCCAGGGCTCCCTCTCCTGGTTCCTTCAGGAGTGCAGGAAGTTAAGCAGCAGGAGTTAGTCACATCCGGCCAGCAGCTATCTGGGGGTCAGAGAACACCCCCCCTCCCGGAAGCCCCCCTCCCCCCCTCACCGGGTTCATCATGAAGGCAGCCAGCTCGTCGGCAGGGATCCTGTGCACCAGCTCTGCCCCTTCCAGCAGCGCAGAGTCCGACCTGGTCCAGCACTGGGACTTGACAAGGCAGATATACCAGTCCTGGAAGGCAGAGGCCAAAGGGCTCCTTCTTTGCCACCACCCCTCACGTCCTGGGGCCCAGACCTAAGAAGGGCCCTCCTGAGCCTTGAGTACAGCATTGCTGACACAGACCCTCACAGCTGCTGCCCTTCTCTGTGCTGACCCTACACCGGCACCCTCTCCTGGGATGGGCTGCTGTCTGTCTCCCTAGCACTGGGGGAGGAGGGGATAACTGGACCTGAAGCAGGGGCTTCACCGTCCTGCGCACGGGCTGCAGTTCTGCTGCCAGAATCTGGGGCGGGGAGGGCTGGGAACACTGCTGGCTTCTCCCCCAGCTCTGCCACTGTGGCTACTGCACTGCTGCTTCCAGCAGACAGGCTGGCCGGCCGCTCTGAAGGAAAGGGGACAGGGCTGGCCCTGGACCTGCAGGAAGCCAGAATGTGCCAGGAGAAAGCTGACCGGGCACCGGCACGTGCTTGGAGGGCTGTGCCCCCAGAGGCTCTGAAGACACTGCCAAGTACTCTCTCACATCCTGCAGCGCCCCGAGATGCCCCAGCCCTATCCTGGGTGCACACACTGGGGGGTCTAGACCGTGCCCCCAGGCCCCCATTCCCGACCCATGAACCTCAAGTCAGCATGTCCTCTCACTAGGACCCCTCCTCAACCCAAGGTGACAGATAACCTGGGCCGACTGCAGGCTTCCATTCAGAGGGGGACCCAGCGTGTGGCTGAGGGGCGCTGGGGCAGGCCGCATGGAACCGGACAGACTGGCCGCTAGAGTGAGACCGACACGTGTCAGCACAGGGCTCACCCCGAGGCAGACTCATGCGTGCTGTACACCTACTTTGTCTGGGCTCAGGGTCTCCAGGGACACCTGCCCATCCCCGTCCAGAGGGTGCGAAGTGACAGGAGGGGCGGGGCTGGGTGACTCGGGGACAGTGGAGAGACGGAACCTGTCCAGCAGGGAGTAGAGTCTTTGGTGCCTGGAATGTAAACGCACAAGCGGTGGCTTCTAAGGGGAGCGTCTCCCCTCACAGTCACTCTCTCACGGAGGCTGCCTGGGGCCCACCAGCTCTCAAAAACCCCAGCTCCCGCCCTGGGAAGGCAGCCCAGCCCGCGGCGCCTGCACCAGTAACACAGTGTGAAGCCCGTATAACCTCTGATCAAACCACCACCTGGCCAGGCCCAGGAGTCTTGGGAGTGCAGAGGTTAAGCATGCATGAGCAAATCAAAGGGCCGTGGTCTGACCCACTAGCCGCTGAGAGGAAGACCCTCGGGGCTGTGTACGGTCCTCCAGGCTTGCTACAAGTTGCCATCAGCCTGGCAGCTGCGGCCAGGGTTGCCCTTTCTGTGGGTCAGTGTGGACAGTCATCTCACCAGAGCATCACTGCACCTGGGCCATGTTGCTCCCGATCCCCGTCTGGCTGAGAGGGGCCCCTTGGCAATGCAGACGACGGGCGGCCCAGACCAGAGGGAACCCGAGACTGCGGTGCTGCCCAGTACACCCCGGCCCCAACTGCCCCAAGACAGCAACCACAGCAGAGGGGTTACATTCTCCCCAAGCCTCTCTGGGGCACACTCTAAGAGCTCCTCTTAGCGGCCACTGCTGCCGGGCAGCCAGGGAACAGACTGTAACATGGACGAGCCGAGGGAAAGGCCTGCAAGTGAAAGGAGGGGCTCGATGGCGGTGCAGAGGCAATGCCAGCAAGCAGAGCCAAGCTGCCCCTGCGCCGAGAGCCAGGCAGGCCTTTCCCACCTGCAGTCCGTGCTCTGCTACGGCCGAGGGGCAGGGCTCCTGTTCTCAGGAGCCACGCGGGGACACCATGGAGGCTACAGAAGCCCCCACTATGCTCCCCACATGTCCAGAGGCTCCCCCTGCTCCACGGTGCTGCTGGGTAAGCCCCTCACTCTGGCCCTGTGGCAGCATCCCCTCAGGCCCTAGGCTGGGGACCCCAGGGCACCATAGGCCACATTACCTCTGTGCTAGCCCGCTGCTCTGGAGGTACTCCTGAATCCTGTTCAGTTCTTCCAGGGGCAGCTGGGACACGCTGCTCTGGGGTAGAAAGAGGACACAGGTGGGCGTGGCACGCAGCAAATGTGACCACTGGCCTGTGGCCTGAGTGGGGCAGGGGGGGCCATGGGACGAGAGCAAGCGCCAGAGAGGGCTGTGTGGGACACCATGGGGTGGAGCCCGCCCGCTTCTCCCTGAGCCAGGGAGCAAGGCCGCATGGAGCCTGTGCCCGTGGGGGCACCACCACCCACCCACCCCATCAGCAGGCTCGCCTGATAGGCTTCCACACCTGGGCGTTGGCCGCCAGCAGCATCTCCACGCGGCGGCAGGCCAGCGTGTCGACCCTGCGTGCCAGCACACGAAGTGGGGTGCTCAGCAGGCGGTCCACATACAGGGTCAGCACGGCGCCTGACTGGCTCAGGTGGATACCCTCCAGGCACTGCAGCGTCCTCCGCAGCGTGCTGGGCTGCGGGCAGGGGGAGAGGCGCACAAGGTGGGGAAGACCTCCAGGGACCGCAGTGCTGGGCGTGGGGGCTGGGGACTTACGGTGGAGAGGTCCTCACAGCGGGACTGGATGGCCTGGATGAAGAGGCCGCTGGCGGCAGAGTTGCGGTGCACAGCGCTGATGAAGTCCTGGACCGGGGGCTCGTGGGACAGGCTGATGAGGTCCTGGATGTGGTTCACGATGAGCCAGGTCAGGTGCTCCGAGTCGTGCAGGTTCTGACACTGCGGGGACAGGGGCACGTGGAAGGGGCTCACTCCAGTCACAGTCCTCAGTGAGAGCAGGAGTTAGAGCCTTGGTGGGAGAAGGCTGCCCGCACCTGTCCAGGGCCCTGAGGTCTCAGAGCTCCTGCGGGCCAGGGGTGGGTGGGGTGGCGGGTCAGAAGTGACTGGATGTCAGTGGGTTTGGTTCTTGAGTGGGGGTTCACAGGACAGGGGCACGGTGGAGGGGGCCTGCTCCCAGGTCAAAGGGTGAGAGGGGCACAGTGGGAGACCAACCAGCACCTGCCATGGCCATGGGGACAGTGGCCCCTCCACAGCCACTCCTTCCCACTGGGCCTCAGCATGCCCTCCCCCACCCCACCTGAGGGAGGTCACTCTCTCTCTCAGCAGGACAAGATTCAGCATAGTGGGCACAGCTTCACTAAAGCCTCTGAGCCCCCAGAGGGACAGAGCTTCCTGGCCCCCAAGCAGCAGAGGACGGCTGCCCTCTCCTGGCCCTCAGGGACCTTCCAGGCCACTAGGACAGCCTGGCCACTCTGCTGACCTCAGGGTCAGGCAGTTGCGCTCACAGAGACAGTCAGTCCCTTTTCTCACAGTTTGTCCTCAAAGTGGAAGAGGAGGCACCGGGGACTCCCACGGGGCGTGTACGGCCAGCCGCGGCTCAGCCGGGCTACGTGCCCGAGGCCAGTTGTGCACCCAGGAAACGGCCCTCCACCGGGTACTCTCAGCAAAATACCAGAAAGTGGCTTTGCTTCTCCCCTCACGACTGACTGGGTGCCTGCGAGCTTCCTACCTTCCTATGGTGAGCGCAAGGCCAGTCTCATGGTTACAATGACACAACAGTCACATTGGGAAGAGTGGCACTCCAACAAGAATCTATTTTAAAGGCGACCACAAGCAACTTGCACAGACAGTATGTGGCACTGGGAAAGCAGCCGAGGCAACGGGGACGCCTGGCACTTTGCTTTTATCAGCACCATCTCCACCGCGGCTGCCTCAGCACTCATACCAGACGCATCCTTGAGGCGCCCAGCCGAATCCCCGGCAGCTTCAGTGCATGGACCCCGTGCCCGATGCCCCTCACACTTACAACGTAGTCGCAGAAGAGGATGAGCGCCCCTCTCCGCACGATTTCCCGGTTGCACATGCCCAGTTTGGAGCCCAGGTCGGAGTCCTGGGGCCCCCCCAGAGTCTGGGGGCTCAGCAGCTTTGTGCTGGAGAGGCTGTGTCTCCTAGGAGTGGCAGAAGGCAATGACAGTAACAGGCTTATTTCTAAAACACCGACCAGTGACCTGACTGTAGCTCACACACAGGAAAGCTAGGACCAACCGGGTCGTGGCAGAGGGGGCATGGGCACTGTGCCCTCTTGCCAGGCAGTGGCGACACTAAGAAAATAGGGGGTGGGGGCAATGTGTAGGGAACAGAGACGCTCGACTGACAGCTAGTACTTCGGTTCCAGAACTGAGGAGGGGCTCGCCCTAATGAAGCCGAGAACAAACTCATGGTGGGGGAAGAGATACTCTGCCCTTGATCTGCTATACAACTCGCCTGCTAGCAGTAAGCAGACCTTCCCATGTTCGTCTGTATCAATGACCCACTGGGCATGCCAGCCACATACTGTGCACAGTGTGTGTGCTGCCGTCTGTGAGGGGCCTGTGCTGGCTGGTAAAGGCAGTTGTAGTTGTGCAAAAACCACTCCTACCCCAAACCCAAGCCCAAGCCCCCCGCCAGTGAGTGGCTTCTGGCTTACCACGACCCTCTAGGACAGAGTCTAACTGCTGCTGGGGGGGTGGGGTGAGGTCTCTGAAGTTGTCAGTCTTTATGCGGGCAGGAATCTCCTCTTTCTCCTGCAGAGTGACTGGTGGGTTTGAACCCCCAACCTTCCGATTCTCACTTTAACCACTGCACCACCAGGGCTCCTTAGAGACATTCTGTGTTTGGGGACTGGGAGTATAGACATCTTGCAGGATCTACTAACTTAACCCTAGGGCAATCTAAGGAAAGGGCTATTAAAGCGAGTATAAAGGGAGCCTAGAGCCAAGGGGCCAGACATGATTGGCAGAATGACCGCATGTGTGGGGTGACTCCTACACACTGACTGCCTAGTAAGCAGGCCAGTATTCGAGTCTATGGGCCCAGTGCAGTGGCTGATGCGGCATTGGGACACAGCCTCAGAGTGGGGGAACGCTTCCAAGATTAGCACTTTCAAATCCCACTGATGGCATACAGGGAAGCAGACAGGAATGATGAAGAGACCCCTCAGACACTGGCCAGCACAGAGGGACCCAGCACTTTGGCACCCCGGGGAGCAGAGCGGGTCTGTGGGAGCAGAGAGTGGGCGGCTTATCTGCAGCTTCAGACGAGACACCTGACCTGGAAGATGCGTTTCTCCAGGGAGTCGGGGGAGCGGGCCATGCCATCTGGAGTCAGCACATGCTTCCCAAACAATGGTTGGAGGCCGCAGCCCATTCTAGGGAGGCCCAGAACCACCACAAAAGAGTTCTCCCCACGTGAACAATCCTGCTCTGAGAGCTGTCAGAGGACATGGCTCTGGAAAGTTCAATGGCAGGCCTGCTGGGCCAGGACGTGGCCATCTGGGCCGTCTGCGCTCAGGAAGATCCACAGCCCGAAGCCCTTGGGTGACTCTCCTGTCACAGGGTTGCTGTGCGTGGGAATGCACATGGGACGGTCATGGTTGGGCCTGCTTCTGGTGGACGTGTGAGCAACTGACCCCCAGAAACCGACGCACAAAGCTACCCGCTTCTGGCAAAAGAGGTCTGCCCACAGCAACACACTGGGACGTGGTATTTCCCAGCAGTTTTGCAACTCAGTGTGAGCTCAGCCGAATGCCCAGCATGAGAACCTGGGGGCAAACCGCCTGGCAGGGACGAACAGCTGGGCGGGAGCAAGAGCTACCCTCAGAGCGGACTC